CTAACATTTAGCCGAAACATTTTTTGAGGTAAACTTGATTATCCGTATGCAACATATATAGACTCTTATAAATAAGCAGGATTTGAAAGCGTTATGTGATACTTAGTTATACACTGCATAAGAAAGGGTTCCGGTATTTTGATTGCAGGATTTGAAAGAGTTATGTGATACTTATTTATAACTCGACCTTCGTAACTCGCAACTCGACTTTCGTAACTCGCAACTCGACCTTTGTAACTCGCAATTCGACTTTTGTAACTCGCAACTCGACTTTTGTAACTCGCAACTCGACTTTCGTAACTCGCAACTCGACTTTTGTAACTCGCAACTCGACCTTCGTAACTCGCAACTCGACTTTCGTAACCGAGTCGCAACTCGACTTTCGTAACTCACAACTCGACTTTTGTAACTTGCAACTCGGCCTTTTCAACTCGCAACTTGCAACTCGACAATAAGAAACCCTCGAAAACAAGACATTATTTACATAAGAATATCTTCAAATAAGTTAATATCAGTGAAATTTTCAATTGACTCCTAAAGCATTTCTCCAATTGTAATTAAAAATATCGGAAAACAGGAAAGGAACGAGGGGTCTGACAGATCCGACAAACCATCACACTTTACAACTCATCACTGCCAAGCTGCTGACTAAATATTAGTCATTCTGTTCAGTAGAATGAGGTGGCCTCGGTGGCGGGTGGTCTAAGTAGTCGAACTACTGTATCACTAGCCAGTCAACTATGAGGTTGTGAGTTTGAATCCCTCATGTGGCAGGTGCAGGTGCAGTTCAGTTCAGTTTCTTGTATATTCCTCCATTAATTGTGGAGCACTACCCGTAGGGTATAATTGTAGCAACTATATAACATTTAATTATGTACAGATGACTGAATTTAGGTAATAATTATTACTAAATAATTAATATTATAATTAATTCATAGGATTGTCATCATAAAATTTTAAAAATAATATTCATAATGTGCTGAGGTGTAAGAACAAGTTAAGTAAGAACTGGATATATATACAAATAAGAATTTAGAATTTAAGTGGTCTTAAATTAAACTTTCTTATAATTGTTAGTTAAAGGTGCTATACGTACATCAGAGTTTATAATGCGAAGGTTATTTTATAGGACTTATGTAAAAGTGTTAGGGTTTAGAACAATTCAACATATATATATAAGTTTTCCTTCACAGTTTAAAATTACCTTATTTCGGATCTTATCATTATTCTTTAAAAGTACTTGATATCTTAAAACTAATTTAGGTCCTAATAAGTCATAAAATAGTAAGATGGTAAAGTAGGGAACTATTTTATTTAAAAAAAAAAAAAAAAAAAAATGTTTGCTTATACTTATACTGTACTTGTGTTCAAGTTTTTTTTATCCTTTTTGTGCGCAGCATGTGCATCTCGTAGCACATATTTCTAGCCAGAGTTTTAATGTTTTCATACACAGTTGAGTAACAGTTTATGTCCTTGCTAGTACAGTCCATTATGAGCTGCAGTAAATTCCCTTGTTGTATGATCTTCTTGTATGTTGAGGTATCAATTTCATCCATTGTCTGTTCGATTTTTGAGCAATATCTAGATCTTATTTGCTCCAATTCTTTGCAGCGTAGAATAAAATGTTCTAGATCTTCATTTTCCTGTTCACAGATTGTACATATCGGGTTAACTTTCGGATCGAACTTAGCTCTTTTGGCTTGTAATATGTACGTTTGAGTACTTATTCTTGCTTTTATTTCTCATGCCTTTACATCTTTACTATTGTTTTTTACGCTTTTCCATATATTGTGTGCTTCATTTAATGGATTGTTCTGCATCTCTATGTATTTAAGTGATGTTTTTTTTCCATTTTTTCATAATGACATTCATTTTTCCAGTATTCCTTGATCTTTATTCCTACTAGTCTTTTCCATTCGATTTTCTTAAGTGGTTTTTCTATGTAGTAACTACTAGATTTCAAATTGTATTTTGATAGAGTTTTTTCCACTCTGTTGATAAAGTCTTTTCCTCTTTGGTCTGAGAATGCTATTTGTCGACGCAGAATTTCACATTCTATGATTCCTGAATTTCGAACAATATTCATGAAGAAGGTAAGTAGATTTTTGTCTAATGTGATGGCAATAGGTTCTGCTCCTACCAGGGTATAGACAGCCATATTTGCTGTATTATTTGGAAGCCCTTGAATTTGTCGGAGGATTTTTCTCTCTGCTAGTTCTAGCATATCCTTTTCTTTTGCAAGTAAGTTCATCACCTCAAGTCCGTAGATGCTTCTTGGTACTGCATATGTTCTCCATAGCTTGTATGCGACCATGGGTGAGAATCCCCTTCTGACATGTAAACCGGCTCCGAGAAGGCTGTATATTGTTGCCCTGCCGGTTCTTATTCTTTCTGAGATATTTGCCCGGTTTTGCTTGTTTCTTTTGATACCTAGATGTTTGGTTTCATTGGTTATATTGATGTCATCGTCTTCGAATTGCAGTGTTGATATGTTTGAGCCTTTTGCATTGTATAAAACAGCTTCAGATTTAGTTGGATTGATTTTAACTAGATTTCTGCTTGTATGGTGCTATACTATGTCTAATATTCCTTGTGCGTCTGCAGTACTATTTGCCAGGACAGCAATGTCATCGGCACATGTGGGTGCAGGGACATGTATATCACCAATACATGCTCCAAGTCCACTTTTTAAAATGCTATCCAGTATGACGTTGTTGTAGCATTTATATAGCGTTGTAGATAGTTTTGCACCTTGTTGAATTCCTTGTAACACCATTACATCTTCTGTACATTGACCTTCTCATTTAACCTTAATGCTCATGCCTTTATACAAGTTTCTCAGTAGTATCCAGAGTTTTCCTTTTATTCCATAATGGTACAGCTTGTCGAATAGTATTTCATGGTTTAGTTTGTCAAATGCTTTTTCTGCATCAAGAGTTATTAAAATCATCAGTATCCTTAATTTCTTACTTTCTTCTATTGCTTCTGATGTGAGGAAAGCTGCGCATAGTGATGACACTCCTTCTGTAAAGCCTCTTTGCAAGGAGTTTTGTATGTTATTGAATACAGAGTCAACTCTATCCTTCAGTATACTTTGTAATATTTTTGCAAAGGTTTTAGTCACAGTTATTCCTCTATAGCTTGATGGTAATGTTTTGTCTTTTTCTTTCTTTATGATTGGTGTAAGAATCCCTGTCTTTAGGAAGATTGGTACATCCAGATATGTTAAAATTAAATTTAGCAAATATACTATAAAGGGAGTTAACTCATCCATCCCATATTTGTAGTGTTCTGCCGAAATTCCATCCTCATCCGTTGCTTTTCCTGCTTTAAGTTTTTCTATAGCTTTATTAACCTCCTTTACATTGACATGATCAATGCCTTGACCTTTTTCCCTTTCTATGGATTCTATTATATTGTTTTGTATTTCTACAAGCTCTAGCTTTTCAGTGTCAAAATTTTCCTCTAATGTTGGCGTAGCTAGTTGTTGGAAATGTTCTTGCCAAATGTTCATTATGCTTCGTCCATCTTCTGCAGTCTTTTCATTCAGTTTCAGTATCTTGGTGTTAGTAAGTGGTGTTTTTCTTTGCATGTTAATAAGCTTGTAAAAAAAGTTTTGTGTCTGCATTTGAAGCTTTCATAATTTTTCCCGCTGTTGATTCTCTCTGAGAGGCATAAGCTTGTCTTTGTGCTTTTCGAAGTATTCTTTTTGCAGCTGTCATTTTGATTTTGAGCTCGTTACTTCTTTCTTGAGGTGCTCCATGTTGCCTCCATACTTTATATGTATTTTTTGATTGCTTTGATGCCTTTTCTATTTGTTCATTCCATATCGCCTTTCCCTTTGATTTGATTTTGATTTTTCTTCTATACTTTGGGATTGCCGCTTCTCCGGCTTTATGTAGCAATTTTTCTAGATTTCTTATATCTTGCTCAATGATTCCTTTTGATTTTTGCATGAGGTTTGGTAGATCTTTATTAATGATTTCCTTATAAATTTGATGGTCACAGTCAGTCCATTTAGGTTTTGCTATGCTAGTTGTTGCTTTCTCCCTTACTTTTTTCAGTTGGCTATTCAGTGAATAACAGTTACATGGTCCGAGGTATTCTCTGGGTCAGTATCAAGGACATCAACTTGTCTGATTTTATTTATTATTTCCGAGTTACTTTTGAAGAGGAAGTAATCAATTTGTCCTTTCGATTTACCATTCTGGTGATAAAATGTTTCTTTTAATGGGCATTTCTCAGTATTTCCTATACATTTTTCCTTGCAGAAAGTTTGTAGAATTTTATCATGAGGTGTAGAGCTTCTATGGAGTGACCCGTTCATGTCTCCACATACTACAATTTCGTGTGTATCTTTATATTTCTCTATCATTTCATCAATTTGAGCCAAAGTGTCTTTGTATTCAAATCTTGCACATACTCCAATCTTAATTGACTAGGATTGTCAGTTTTCCTACTGAAGGTTGGTGGTTCTCTCCGGGCACTCCGGCTTCCTCCACCAATAAAAATTGACTGCCACGAAATAGCACAATAGTGTTGAAAGTGGTGTTAAACGCCAATCAATCAATCAATCAAACGGCCTTAAAGGAGCCATTGTCGTAAAAAGACCAATTTTACCGATTTTTTTCAATGTTAGCTAAATAAAAGTATATCAGATGAAATAAAATAGTAAGCGAGACAAGATCTACTAAGATCAAAATCTTATTCAACTCCTCATATGAGTATTTACCCATTCCGATGATATGATTCAGGCATCTTGGAGACTCTAGTTTTATCTTCTAAATCTCATCTATACAATTAATGTTAATAAGGTTGGAACAACACATGTTTCTATAGCAACATTCATTAGATGAGCTACCTTCGTAATCTTTTGTAATTATTTACTTTTGCGTTTATTATGGACATTACGTTATACTATTGATTTAAATTGCTCCTCTGTATATGGATATACCGTAAAAATTCCCGCCGTTTTAGAGTTTCTCGCCCTTGCCCTTTTTACCGGATCGATGTAAACAAAAAAATAGCAGGACGTAAAACCTCATCTAGCATGTCTTTTGTAAATTGTACAATCATTGACAAGGACACCATTCATTGTAATAATGTCACATTTAAAGCAGAGAATATGTTGACATATGAAGACAAAGGGTTTTGGATTTATTTGGGTATTTACGTTGCCCTTGTACTGTTTGCAGGTGTGTTAACATACATGTAACATGCATGAAGTTCGAAAGTTTAGTGACAGTGCAGCATTAGTATCCCTCCAAAAATTACCTTTGTACCGCTAGTAATAGAGCCTGGACACCTTTAAATTTTGAGTTGTAGCTGAACAATGAAAGATGTTCTTGTTTTGTTATTATCCCTTTTGGGATTCTGAGTCTGGAGCGATTTTCTGATTTGGCTGCCTCAGAATCCCATATCAAGTCTATTAGGGAAAATATTAGCCAACTAACTCACTTTGAAATGGCGCCTTTTACATCTACAGCACCATTCCGTACACCTGAAACAAGTAAGAATTGATTAGAAGACATATGTCACGAACTAGAAGTTCGTTCATAATGTAAGTTCCAAGTGGAAAAATATTCTGTTATATTATTTCCACTTGAAAAAATATTACAGTATTTGTTCCTTTTGGAATAAAGGGTATAGAATATTTGTTCCAACAGGAACAGATATAATGGCATAGTTTATAACAAAGTTTACAGGTTAGGCGGAACAAATATACATTGACTCACATATCAGCCTTTCAGAAGCCATTAAAATGTTGAAAACCTTTTAAAGATATTTATAGGACGGTTGTAATGGGGGTACTTTCATGACGAATAACGTTGAAAATCTTCCATTTATGATGTCAATGATATTTTTGGTACATTTTCTCTATGATGATAAAAAAATTGACTGATTTTGACGAATCACGTTAAATTCTTTCCAAAAATAACAGTAACGGATAATTATTTTAGCCAGCCGGACATTTTTTGTCTAATCCCAATTTTAATTCCTTCAGACTTCGAAACAAAAGGCAACCACAGTTGGGCATCATATAAACAAAGATTGACACAAAAACGATATCAAACTTGACTTTTGATATAAATTCTATGTTCTGACGTAAACTGTTAATTTGACAGTGCATCATTCGAAGTGTGCAACATCAGCGTACTACTATCTGCCTTAGACTCTATTTGTGCAAAATTATGCTGTCAACAACTACACTTTCATTTTTTAAAAGCATATTTCCTAATACCAGATGTTGACTTGACAATGGTAATACACGGACCAGAGACTGATGCGTAAAATCTGTGTATGTTTACATAGGATGATTGAGTTTAAGTAGATCTTTCCACATTGTTCCTTCAGGAAACTACTCGAAATGAACGTACTCGTACTCTGAACAACAAATTTATTAATTTTGTATAAAATGTTTACTTCTGTACAAAATTATTATATTTTAATTTACCTGTGTACATTGTTTTATTTAACACCATTTTGTCCCAGGTAAGAGTTGTCTTATTGACACTCTTCCTACATCTTTTTTATTACTACCTGTAACGTCTATGTTAAATAGGCACCTAAGTTTTAATATTGTATTTATATTGTGTCATAGATCAAACTTATTCGTTCAGTGTATGATTACTTGTTTTTGTTTAAATGTCTTTTTGATTGAGTTAAGTCATTTCAAATGATAATTTATAATGTGTCTTTTTATGGTGTAATGTTACACTACTGTCTCAGGTTAGGTTGAAGGTTGGCGCCTGATAAAAAGTGTAAACCCGCTGCAATTTTATGCACCTGTCCTAAGTCAGGAGCCTGTTGTTCAGTGGTTGTCATTTGTTGGTGTGGTTCATAGGCGTTTCTGTTTTTTTATATAGATAAGACCGTTGGTTTTCCTGTTTGAATTGTTTTACACTAGTCATTTTGGGGCCCTTTTTAGCTTGCTGTTGGGTGTGAGCCTGGGCTCCGTATTGGATGCCGTACTTTGACTTATAATTGTTAACTTTTCATACATTGTGACTTGGATGGAGAGTTGTCTCATTGGCACTCATACCACATCTTCTTATTTATGTTAGATAAAGGTATCAATGATAATTTGAGCATTTTTGAAAAATTTGGATGCATAATTAAATCTCACATCTGCGCACATGTGTACTAGTTCAAACAACGTGGTAATGTGCCGATTTTCGCTTAAAATCTTTATTACTACCTTTTTAAATTTTTCATCAAATCATCAAAATCATTTTGGCTAAATTAATTAGATGAAATCTGCTGAAATTTAAGAAAAAAATAATAAATAGACCGATTAATGTCTGGTACAAAATAGTTTACCTGTCACCTGAACAGGTAAATTTCAGCTGTCAGAGAACTTATTAACCTTGATTGTAATGAGAGGGTATCAAAAAGATCGCATAAACTTCATTTTTTTTTCTGATTTTTTTTGAATGGCAAACCCATGATATATGTCCATTTCAGGCTCGGCACAACAAGTCATAATTATAATTTACCGGTCAAGTCCGCACAATACGACTGTTTTTGAAGCCCTGCCTCTGACCAATTACGACAAGGATATTTGACAATCAAGATAAAATTTTAGCCAATTTGACCCTCACGGTAGCTGAAAATGACAGTTTGACGCCTGACTGTAAAGGGCATTCATATCATCTTACAGATTCATTTTATCCCAAAATTTAACATAAAGTATGCCATTTTGTCAACATTTCAAGTATTTCTCGCATGATCTGTGTTGTAAAGCACAGAACTTTTCAGTCAGATTTTCAACAAACTGGTTTTCTAGTGCCATTGACAAGCCTATCTGGAAAATAGGATTTGTCATTTATAACATTTTTATTTAGTCTTTCCAATTCAAATTAGAGAAAGGTTGCAGGTCAGAGACAAAACAAAATGGCCGTCTACGGACCAAGAAATTTATATATTTTACATTATGGTTCTATAACTATCATATAATGTAAGGTATTTTCAACTTTGTAACAGATTCTGAAAGGCTGATATGTCTCTAATCAATTCTTACCTGCTTCTGGTGTACGAAATGGTGCTTAAGGTGTAAAAGGCCCATTCGAGGTGAGGGAGTTGGCAAATATTTTCCTGAATAGACTTGATAGGGCTTGATAAGGGATTCTGAGATGGCCAAATCCTGTTGCATGCCTCCAAAACCCAACACATAAGTAGGTGTGTTTCCTGTTGCATGCCTCCAAAAACCAACACATAAGTAGGTGTGTTTCCTGTTGCATGCCTCCAAACCCAACACATAAGTAGGTGTGTTTCCTGTTGCATACCTCCAAACCCCAACACATAAGTAGGTGTGTTTCCTGTTGCATGCCTCCAAACCCCAACACATAAGTAGGTGTGTTTCCTGTTGCATGCCTCCAAACCACAACACATAAGTAGGTGTGTTTCCTGTTGCATGCCTCCAAACCCCAACACATAAGTAGGTGTGTTTCCTGTTGCATGCCTCCAAAAACCAACACATAAGTAGGTGTGTTTCCTGTTGCATGCCTCCAAAAACCAACACATAAGTAGGTGTGTTTCCTGTTGCATGCCTCCAAACCCAACACATAAGTAGGTGTGTTTCCTGTTGCATACCTCCAAACCCCAACACATAAGTAGGTGTGTTTCCTGTTGCATGCCTCCAAACCCCAACACATAAGTAGGTGTGTTTCCTGTTGCATGCCTCCAAACCACAACACATAAGTAGGTGTGTTTCCTGTTGCATGCCTCCAAACCCCAACACATAAGTAGGTGTGTTTCCTGTTGCATGCCTCCAAAAACCAACACATAAGTAGGTGTGTTTCCTGTTGCATGCCGCCAAACCCCAACACATAAGTAGGTGTGTTTCCTGTTGCTTGCCTCCAAAAACCAACTGTTGTGAACATTTGTATATCAATCCTATAGTTCACTTATTGACCTTATAAATGAACTTAAAGACCGATCATAATATTATAACAACAGTGCCTCTTTTTCCTCATTACTAAAGCAGTATATTATAAAAATTTTGGAGTATATTCTTTATATCAATTATGAATTGATTGAGCTCGGATAGAATGATTCTCTTTTGGATTGGTTTTCTCTAAATATATATCAAAAACTTGAAGATTGTATGTGTCCAAAGTATGTACATGTGTTTTTATATGATATTGAAGGTTCCAAAGAATTGAGAATTAATTCCTAATATTAATATTGTTTAATTTCAGGACTAATGTCTGGCTTAACTATGGGACTACTATCTTTAGATTTGATGACATTAAAAATTATGAAAGATGGTGGATCTCCAAAAGAGAAAAAGCAAGCAGAAAAAATACTTCCTATAGTTGAGAGACACCATCTGTTATTAGTGACTTTATTATTGGCTAATGCAGCAGCTGTGGAATCAATGCCAATCTTTCTAGACAGAGTCTCTAGTCCTATTATAGCAATCGTTGTGTCTGTTACTGCTGTTTTGATATTTGGGGAGTAAGTATGTTTGAATAGCAAAACTTTTTTTTGGGTTCAAAACTGATGTTTAGAACACATTTTTAACAAATAGGTCCAACATTTTCTATTGTAGTTTTCCCAAAACATACAAGTGGCTGAAGCAAACAATAAAAAATTTAAAGGGGAAAATGCAAAATCTGTTGCATAAGATTTTAACAAAATGAATTCATGTAAATTTATACATGCACATTGTTGTAGTGAAAGTATTTATATGAACTAAATACTTTTGTTTGGGAAAATTATTATTTTGAAAAGTATATTGTATGTAAATGCCTATAGCAAAAATGATTAGCTGAATAAGATTTTTAATTAGAAAAACATACTTGTTTGCCATAAAGGTGAAAATAAATATCAAAGTGGCAATTTTTGCTAGGTGAGCTATTCAAGCTCTTAGGAGACTCTAGTAGTGTGTATTTTCCATAACAGATTTTTTAGGATATATTATCATTGAAAGAATATTAATCTGAAGATGATTCATCAGACATATATGGTATGATTTTATACATTATTTTAGAGTTGTACCACAAGCTGTTTGCACAAGACATGGTGTGGCAATAGGAGCAGCTTTATCCCCGTAAGTCCAGATACTATAACTACATAGACATTAACAGTATTTTATTCTTTATTATGTATTTATGATTACTTGTGATATATGAACCAGAGAGTGCCAGTTCTATTTCTTTGTTACATTATGAATGCAGATTTTTAAGTTGGAAAGTTGCACGATGTATTGATATTTCAAACAAAGCAATCCATTGATTTTCTCAAAGCTTTGGTAAAAGACTAGAGATATAGTTTGTTTGTTAAGAAAAGGAAAATATGTTTGGATTTCATTTTCTGTTGAAGTTTTGTGAGTGTGTGATACATTTAATTCTGAGTTTTTTAGTTACATTTGAACATGCTTTTTCACCTGTTTCAGAATAGTTTACCTGTTAATTGGTATGTTCTGCATTATATCATGGCCATTGTCAAAGTTGTTAGACTGTTTACTTGGAAAAGACCACGGAACATTTTATCGACGTGGAGAGTTAAAAGTTTTAGTTGATTTACATGCCAGTTCACCACCACATTTAGCAAATGGTTCGGATCATGAGGGAGAAGAAAGTTTAACAGTAGACGAAGTCCTCATTATCAAAGTATTTATTCTGACCACCTCTACTAACTTCATGTATCCACGCTTCCTTTACAAGGATCTGACAACGCTCCTTTCTATTTTCTGTTTGAGAGATCTTTCGGGATTCTTTGGTTTTGTTGTAATGATACTATCCTTCAAAAATCTGATAGCTGAAATTTCATGGCTGATGTAATAATTACAAGAACAGAAAGATGAACGGAATGTTGTCAGATCCTTGTAAGCAATGCGTGGACACAGGATCTGTATTTAATCAGATTGGCTGTAGAACTACTGTAACTAATAACTAATTACTGTGGGATTTATTATTTTGTGATTGGAATCAACAGGCAGAAAACAAGATTATTTATGTGATCAGAAAATTCTGATTACATATTTTGCAATGAGAATTCACAGTACAAGTTATAATTAATGTGATACTAGTCATACTAGTAGTCCCATCACAATTATAGATAAAAAATACAAAGTTTCTGGTTTCTGTATATTGGATGACCTGTAATGATCATGCTACACTACAAGGATACCTATTTTTATACGCCCGTTTACGGGACGTATTATGGTATACCGTTGTCCGTCCGTCCGTCGCCAACATGTTGGACATTAACTCAAAAACGCTTTAACCAATTTGCATAAAACTTTGGTGAATTGTTTATATTTATTGACATGAGCTCCCTTTCATTTTTTATAAATTTTAGATTTTATGTTTCTGAGTTATGGGGTTTTATTCATTAAAAAAAGGGGATTTTCCAGTTTTGGACAATAACTCGAGAATGCTTTCACCAACTTGCAAGAAATTGTGGTGAATTGTTTATATCTATTGACATGAGCTCCCTTTTGATTTTTATATATTTTAGATTTTACATTTCCGAGTTACAGGGTTTTATTCATAAAAAAAGGGGGATTTTCCAGTTTTCAGACAAAAAATCAAAAATGCTTTAGGCAGTTCTTATGAAACTTTGGTGAATTGTTTATATCTGTTGATGTAAGCTCCTTTTAGAAATTTATAAATTTTACATTTTACATTTCTGAGTTATGGGGTTTTATTCATTAAAAAAGGGGGGATTTTCCAGTTTTTGGACAATAACTCAAAAATGCTGTCAGAAATTCTCATGAAACTTTGGTGAATTATTCATATCTATTGATGTAAGCTCCTTTTACATTTTAATAAATTTTTAATATGACATTGAGAATTAATTGAACTTAAATTGTTTATAGTCTGACAACAGATTTACTAAGTATTGCGCAACAGCACAGTGTATTGCACAACAGCAAGAAATCTTTAATTGAATATAAATTCAATTCATATAACCAATTTCAAGTTCTTTGACTACATTTATTCAGAAACCTATAATATGTTAAATATTTAATACAATCCAAATTCAGACCTGTATCAAGCTTGAATATTGTGTCCTTTTTTGTCCCAACTGTTCAGGGTTGGACCTTTGCGGGTGTATCCAGCTGCGCTCAGTGAAGCAGTTTATTTTTATATTTAAAGTGGGAAAAAAGAATATACAGTTTCTTGTGTCAAATTGATAAAATTCCTAAGGTAGCCAGTGTTTCTAAATGTTTGACAATAGATTTTTTAAAAACTTCTGTAAAAGACTTCTGGGTCAACTTATTTTCAAATTCAATATTAAAACTTAGTCACAGATCTTGTTTTTTTTTTATTAAAACACCTTGAAATTAAGGAAATCACAGTTATTTTATATGGGTTATATAGGGAAAACTTGATTTTTCCTTAATAAGGAAACATTAAACGATAGAGTTGGTTAAAATTCAATGGAGAATAGATTTTTGTCTCGCCTTGACAGAGTCAAAAAGCAAGACGTATGTATGCTGCTTCCGTCGGCATCGGCATCAACAATGTATTAGTTTGTGATTATGTCTAGTTTATGGTGAACCACTAGTGGTAGGTCAGTGATATTTGGTATGCAGTTGTATTAGCATTGGCATATTTCATTTCCATGGAGATTATTTGGCCCCACCCCCTCAGTCATGGTGTATTGACTTTGAAATTTTGCTTAGTTTACATGTATTTGTTTGTGATTAGGTCAGTTTAAGAAGAACCATTAGTGGTAGGTCCATGATAATTGGTATGCAAGTATATAAGCATTAGCACAACTCATTTACATGGAGAATATTTGGTCCTTACCCCTCAGTCATGGTCTATTTACTTTGAAACTTTTGCTTAGTTTTACATGTATTAGTTTGTGATTAGATCAGTTTAAGATGAACCACTAATGTTAATTCGTTGATAGTTGGTATTTGTTTAGGGGCCAGCTGAAGCCCGCCTCCGGGTGAGGGATTTTCTCGCTGTGGTAAAGACCCATTGATGGCCTTCGGCTGTTTTCTTTTCTTTGGTTGGGTTGTTGTCTCTTTGACACATTCCCCTTTTCCATTCTCAATTTTATGCAAATGTATTGGACCTTGAAGGTCTCATTTCCATGGAGATTATATAGCCCCACCCCCTTATCATGGGTCATTGACTTTGAAACTTTTACATAGTTAACAAGTTAATGTTTGTGTTTCGGTTTTGCATTATCAAAAGGTGTAACACCCCCAAAATCATAGTACGTCACATCCGGTTGCATACGAAAAAGGGTCGAAAAAAAATATTCCCTTGAATTTGACAGTTGTAGAAAATTAATCCTACATTTCATTGCAGTAAAAAATTTCTGAGTCCTAGGCATATATCTTGAGTGTTTCAAAGCACCCTTATTTTTTTATTTGGTGTTTCTGTAGAATATTTTGGAAACTTGAGGTTACATGGTTACTAAAGCTTGTACACAGGAAAAAAAGGGTGAAAATTTGATTGGTTAACTTCCAGTGATGGTTATTTTCTTATATGCAATGAAATGTTATGTGAAATTTTGTCTATAGTACTGGACAGGATAAAACTTTACTCATGCCAAGTATTTCTTTATTTGAAACAAAGATAAATTCTGTGCAAATTTAACAAAGACTAATAGGGGAAAATCAATGGTGGTATTACACCAAAATAACAAAAAGGCGAGACATATCTCTGTGTTGACAGTATATCTTAAATACTTCAGAAATATCAAATAAAAAATAGGGGGTCACAAGCCTTATTTTCCTAAAAAATCCCCAAATCACAAATTGTCCTATCAAATTCAATATAATCTGCCCCTGATTTTAAAAGGATTTTTTCTGAAAATTTTAAATACTCTTAACAACACTTAATTTTTTATAGTTTAATCTTTAAATTTCAAGTTTTAGCTGTTAATGTTGTATATTGAATGATACTTTGTAATATTTTTAAAAATCAAACAAGTATTTTTGCAACATGCCCAGAAGGGATGCTCAGAAAAAGACCCCCAATCTTCCTTAATTTGTCCCTTCTGGAAAAGATAAGGTATTTGTGTATTGTAGAAAAAATCAAATGGCCACTACTACCAAAAATGTTTGTCCTGCTTAATCACACTGCAGATGCAATAATATGCCTGCTGTTTCTAGTGTTTTTTTCTGGAGCAGTATATCTGTGTGAAATATGTGTAAACTTTTTCTTGGAAACTGTTTTTATTATCAACATGTTGTAAACTTAAACCAAAGAATAAAAAAATGATATTTTCTCCCTCTGCATTAAACATATAGAATTAATGGGTGAAGGCAAAAATTGGTCAGCTAAGAATCGGAATAAAGTATCCAGTCCTCCTGTAGACTATCGCTTTGGGAACTCGGGCTTTAAATTATATCTATCCAACTCAACATGTGAAGTCTTAAAAAAAGTAGGGTACATTTACACACTTTCATTCTGAATATTCATATTAAGCACCTATCATTGTGAATATCAATATTAAGCAATTATCATTCCAAAAATAATTAATCAAATCAAGATTTTAACAAACTTTCAAGAGAAGGATTGTTTTTTTTAGGGTGCTTTAGATATGAAACATAAGACTGTGAAAGATGCTATGCTGCCACTGGATGACGTTTATATGCTTGATGTTAATTCTCAGATGGATCATAAGACAATGAAATGTGTACGTATATAAGTACTTGGTGTTTGATGTTACACATGTAAGAATAGTATCATTAGGTCATTTTGAATGACAAAATGATTCCATTCATATAAATTCTATTTTTGCAGAGTATGAAAACAGACATCTAATTGGAAAAAGGAAATTTATGACCTTTTAATATATATCAACTTGGTAAAATGCACCCCATTGATATATTTGACATGTCAGAAAAGTAACCCATTTCAGCTGCACATCTGTATATATCTCCCCCATGACCATGAATTCTTCAAACCTTATTGTATACAATAATTTCATCGTTCAGCGACTGCTTAAAAAACTAGTTTTTATGCCCCACCTAGGGGCATTATGTGTTTCTGTCTGTGCGTCCGTTCATTCATCCGTTCGTTCATCCTTCCGTTCGTTCGTTCGTCTGTCTGTCTGTCCTGCTTCAGGTTAAAGTTTTTGGTCAAGGTAGTTTTTGATGAAGTTGAAGTCCAATCAACTTGAAACTTAGTACACATGTTTCCTATGATATGATCTTTCTAATTTGAATGCCAAATTAGAGTTTTGACCCCAATTTCACGGTCCACTGAACAGAGAAAATGGTTGTGCCCGCTTCAGGTTAAAGGTTTTGGTCAAGGTAGTTTTTGATGAAGTTGAAGTCCAATCAACTTGAAACGTAGTCAGTGTTCTCAATAAGAGCCGGCAACCGGCAAAATCCGCCGCCTATTGCGTGTTTTGTGCCGGCTATTAATTTATTGACAAAAGTATGAAATACGCAAAAATTGCATAGTCCGGATCTGTCGTACATCTTTTTTCTACTAACTGATTCCAAGTCATCCGCCATGCGTAAATAATACAATCATAAACGTAAACCAGTTTTAAATCATTTGAACGTTTGAAACAAAGCGATAAAATCTACAAATCGAAATTAATGTTGACGCAGATATTTTAGACAGCTCGTTGCAAACTCAAACACGAAGAGAACGATTAGTGATTACTTTTAGCGTGATCCGAATATACAGTAAAGTAAAGATAAGAAAGCTCGTTTAGTGTATCTTACACGGATTTAAACTTGGGTGCATTTATGTACATTATTGTATAATCGCCGGATTATACGTAGAAGAAAACACAGTGAAATCAGTCCACATCTGACAAATTCTAGTCACTTTGGAATGTGGTTAAATTGGAACCGGTATACTCAAGTCGGTACGTAGTCAAATATACGTCGAACATGTATTGTTTTTAGTATTTTAAGCAAAAAATATAAAACAAAGAAGGGGGAAGGCCAGAATTAATTATTGTATATGATCAAGTTCTTTTTGTTTCTTTTCTGTATTTTCTTCGGTCAACTATATGTGTATTCAAGGTATTGGATATTTATTATGCATGTTTTAACCAGTTGATATTAATGACAGGGACTCATAGTTTGCCCTTTTATTGCTTCTTATTTTTTCATGATTAAACAACAGCTTGGGTAATGGCTTCATTGGTTTTTATTTAAGTTTTTGAAGAAAAAACATCAATAACTGCCTGTATAGAGTTAAAACAATAAACATGTTAATTATTTAATTGAAAAGAAACAAATCAAATCAAATCAAAACATCAGTCATAGGAGTTTAAAAAAAAGACTTCAAACATTTTACTTCTTAATAACAAGATTATTTTTAACAATGTACTGAACAAAATAAAATCCAACCTCAATTTTTTTTCTCGAAATAATTGAAAAGCAGATAACAGATGAAAATTATTATTTGGTGCCGAACTGACCAACTAAGTGCCGAAATGAATTAAAATGGGTGCCTATTTGATCAGATGCCAATTTGACTTTTTCGATAGGTGCCGATTTAACTTGTACCCTCTGACCAACAGAGAGGATTGAGTGTAACCTGATAAACTGTTGACACTACATACAAAATGACATAGTTCCTATTTCCTGGATTTAAAATTTATTATTTTTCTAGCCATATTTTGTCAGTTGATTACTGCAGGTTGACAGTTTCCAAAGGCAACTCTGGTTTCCTCTAAATATATATCTTACCAGTTTTTGAATGACTGAATAAAGCATAAATTATTGTTCTCAATGAATTCTATTTGAATCTATAATACAAGACACTAAGAAATAATTTGAAGCGAAGACACAATTATTAGGGCTATTCCAGAAATGTCTCTATGGGGAGGGGAAGGCACATTAATAAAAAAAAAATTGCATGGGCCACTTCACATATTTTCCCAATCAAAACTTAAAATTAGGGAAACATGAATTAAATTTTTATTCAAATAAAAAGTGCTTTTCCCTCCCCATACAATCAATTCTTGAATAGCCCTTAGTGATAAAGACTTGCAATAAGAAGAACATTGAACATGGAAAGGGGTGAAGCAAGCCATGTCATATAAAATCTGCAAAACAAATCACATTAATTTTCAATTTTTGAGGAAAAATTTAAATGAGCTACTAAAAATGGACAAATTAACATGAAGAATATGAGGTCAAAATCTACTCAGAACAGCCCAGATGCCACCTCCTGCAATCTAGATTTTCAAAATTTTCTTGAACCCCCAGCTTAACGAGAAGGGGGGATACCCCCTCTCGCGCCTGCAACGCTCGGTTCGGGCCTTGCGGCCCTCATGATTGCCTGCTACTTTTAATTTTCTCCCTCTTATTCAAAAACTTATTGAGAACACTGTTAGTACACATGTTCCCTATGATATGATATTTCTAATTTTAATGCCAAATGAGAGTTTTGACCCCAAATTCACGAACCACTGAACATAGAAAATGATAGTGCGAGTGGGGCATCCATTTACTATGGACATATTATGATATTCATGTTTATTACATGAATTTCTCACTTATTATGAATAATAGAACTGTCTGTGTGTTGCCTGATCTTTACCTAATTTCATTGATCAATAATCAAGGTTATGTTTTGGTAGTCAAGTCCATATCTCAGTCACTATAAGGAATGATTGTAAAATGTACATGTTCCTCTGGCAGGGCATATCTGACCTTGACCTATTTTGAATGGATCATTGATAATGATAAGTTTAAGTGATACTTGTGGTAAATTGTTTATCTTAAAACTTTCAAAATGAATTCAATCATGATGAATAAAGTAGCAGAGACATTGCTGTGTTCAATCATGATTAGTAAAGTAGCAGAGACATTGCTGTGTTCGATCATGATTAGTAAAGTAGCAGAGACATTGCTGTGTTCAATCATGATTAGTAAAGTAGCAGAGACATTGCTGTGTTCAATAATGATTAGTGAAGTAGCAGAGACATTGCTGTGTTCAATCATGATTAGTAAAGTAGCAGAGACATTGCTGCATTCAATCATGATCAGTATAGAAGCAGAGACATTGCTGCATTCAATCATGATTAGTAAAGTAGCAGACACATTGCTGTGTGACACTGATAACTCTATTTGTTATATATTCTGTTATTAGGATTATAAATTTATTTTCAGATAGTAGACATGTCACATTCCAGACTTCCTGTCTATGAAGATGAAAAAACTAACATCATATCAGTTTTGATAGTAAAGACATTAATATGTTTAGATCCTGAGGATTGTACTCCCGTTAGGACCCTCCTTCATTCTAATTCAGTTGCAAGTGTTATTCATGTTGATGATGACATGCCTCTATATGATCTACTCAACATATTTCAGACAGGAAAAGGTTTGTGCTCTTTTTATTGGTTCCGTCAATTTTTTTCCCTGACACTGTGGTTTCTGATCAGAACCAGCTTATTTATTTTATATGCAGATTTATTATTTTACATAGTGGGTGAGCTTTTACAGGAATTTAAAATATATTTATACTCTAATTTGCACAGTAACAGGGTTAATAGATATTACCCTATCTGGCAGTCATGTTCTACTTGGGATTAAAATCAAAATGGATAATTTTTAACATATGATGGATATATGTCAGGGATCTCCATGATCTGTTTTATGATGGCGCACCGCCATCGTTCAGTTATCCTCCACCATCGTCAAATGGTTCCCGCCATCGTTAAATTATCTACCGCCATCATCAAATGATCTCCGCCATTGTTAAATAGCTGCACTATGATTGTCAAAATTAGTTTTTGTTTTGCTAGCTGCCGCTATTTTTGTTAGCAATTATAATCAATTGCTTGTAATTGCATAACCCCTATTGTATTATAATTCAAAGGGTCTTCCTGATCACTGTTTTAATCCCTGAGGATTATCCAGCTAATGATCACTAATCACTGTACAGGTAGATTGACATACCTGACAGGAGAACACATGACCAAGAGAGACGATTTATTGCATTATTTAATTACTTTTCAGCAAATGCTGATGAAAATTTAGATTAAAAAAATAAAATTTAAATTCAATTACGAAGAAATGTGTTTAATAAGTCAAACATGTGCTTTTATTGACTTTCACAATCAGCATCCCCCTTCTTAAACAAGTACAAGGTTAGACTCTTGATTGTAAAACTGAACATAATTTCATGCCAAATAACAACAGTTATCCATCATAATGAATCACTTTAGCAGTTTAAAAGTAAATGCTCGAATATTAACTGCAACTTGATAATCTGAAGAAATTTCGTATCATATAATTCCGAAATCATTTTGTAGTTTACCATGTTTACAATTAAATTAATGCATCCGGTTTACATTCAGAATCGAAAGATGCATGTTTCATGGTCTATTACTGTGGAATTTGCAATTTTTAGTCATTAAAAACCATTTCAGTTTTACTCTTTTGCCCCCCAAAAATCTGTATTCAACGTTTTTCAAAAACATGGTCTATTACTGTGGAATTTGCAATTTTAAGTCATTAAAAACCATTTCAGTTTTACTCTTTTGCCCCCCAAAAATCTGTATTCAAAGTTTTCTAAAAATGGGTACACAACTTATTGTTGTTGATGCTGCAAATCATCGATCCCAGTTTGTGACTTCTGAACTGAATTTGACACTACTACTACGGTTGTGTTTGACAATGAGAAAAACAGTCCCCATTTTAAAGTCCTAACACATTTACCAAAATAGCGAGAAAACAACTGTGGAAACCTTCTGACAGGAAAAAACTTTGACATTAACTAGGTTAACAGGACAGCTCAATTGTGGTTATCCTTGACTTAGAGGAGCCATGCAGGCTTGGCATTGGAAATATTATAAATGACAATTAAATAAAATATTGGTTATTCTATAATGAAATGAATATAATAAACAATATATCAGTCTATTCATGATTCCTTACACAAAAAATGGTTCAGATCCCAATCTTTTAACCAAATTTATTCCTAATTGTCATGACAAGACCTTACAGTACACCATAGGTTTTGTCCAAACAATGGGCGGGGGGTGGGTATAAACTGTTAAATATGATAAAAACTGTTCAGATCTTCACCTATAAGCCATATATCTTCTGAACTGTGATGATAAGACCATTCCATTGCACAACTAGTTTTGTGATAATTGGAGCCATACCCCATCCCAATCATATTACAAACTGTTTTATGCCCCTGCAGCGGCCGAGGGGGCATTAAGTTTTACCCCTGTAAGTCCATAGTATGTCCCAAAATTAGTTTCTATTCTCTAACTTTAGTTTGCCTCAACTAAATATTATGAAATCCCCTCACAATGCTAATTACCAGCAAACACAGATCAAGTTCGAATATGTGTGGTGTCATTTTGATTGTTCTTGAATTATGTCCCTTTATAAATGGAATAAATTGCTTCGCCGAAAGCAGCTGGATATGACTGCAAAGGTCCAACCCTGAACAGTTGGGGAAAAAATGGACACAATATTCAAGCTTGAAACAGGTCTGAATTTTGATTGTAATTAAAATTCTTTTTTCACTGCTTAATTGGGCCCCTTTTTGGCCCTTAATTTCTAAACTGTTAGGACTATAACCCCCAAAATCAATCCCAACCTTCCTTTTGTGATTATAAACCTTGTGTTTAAATTTCATAGATTTCTATTTACATTTACTAAAGTTATTGTCCGGAAACCAAATGTCTTCGGACGACGCTGGCGACAACGACGATGTGATACCAATATACGACCGCAAAATTTTTCGCGGTCGTATAAAAATCAGCAAATTTACTGTTTCCTTTCTCTAACTTTAGTTTCCCTCAACTAAATGTTATGAAACTTATACACAATACTTGTTATCATTAAACACAGATCAACATTTAATTTGGGTGGTGTCACTTTCACCGTTCTTGAGTTATGTCCCTTTACAAATGAAAAAATTGCTAAATTTGTCATTTCCTCACTCTAACTTTAGTTTGCCTTAACCAAAAATTATGAAACTCCTTCACTATGCTAATTACCACCAAACACAGATCAAGTTCGAATGTGGTGTCATTTTGATTGTTCTCAAGTTATGTCCCTTTATAAATGGAAAAATCAGCAAATTTACTGTTTCTGTTCTCTAACTATAGTTTCCCTCAACCAAATGTTATGAAACTAATACACAATGCTTATAACCCGAAAAAACACAGATCAAGTTTGAATTTTGTTGGCGTTGCTTTTACCGTTCTAGAGTTATGTCCCTTTACAAATGGAAAAAATGCTGAATTTTTTGTTTCTGTTCTCTAACTTGAGTTTGCCTCAACCAAATGTTATGAATCTTATGCACAATGCTTATTCCCACAGAACATAGATCAAGTTTGAATTTCAGTGGAGTCACTTTTACCGTTCTAGAGTTATACCCCTTTACAAATGGAAAAATTGCTGAATGTCCCTTTATAAGCAAGTGGGGGCATTCATCTGTGTCCATGCATCTGTGTCCCATGGACACATTTCCCATTTATTTTCCAAAGTTGTAGGGATGATAATAATTCGTAGACTATCTTTAAAATTCCTCATTCGCTACTTTATCTGGTTGAAAAAATGGTGACAATGATCTGAGGTAGTTTCTCAGATGACTTCAAGATGATCTTTTTAATCATGTGTGTTACAATTAAGTAAATATCAACAAAATTCACACACACTGATACAACTTGGTATGCTAGTTTGCTTTATAGGAAATAAATGTATTAATTTTTGTTAATAAAAAAAAAATTTAGACTCAACGTTATACTCACTCAAAAACAGACAGACAAATGAAATGCATTTGAAAATCAATTATGATCAAAAAGTAAGTGATTCTTTCCTGTCTATGTGAAAACAATCGCCCTCAATAGAAACAGAAACCAAAATGTAGGTCATATTCTTTGTTTACGATCAATAGATATTAAAATTCAAGTTTTTTTGGTAGACAATTGCAAAAAAATTTATTATCCAATGACTATGGTACCATGAAAATTTAGATTATAGAAAATAGTAATTTATTCTTCAGCTCATTACTTGAGAACTGTATATAATGAAATCAAGTTCAGTATAAAGAAAGTATTCTTACCATCCATTTCAAATTGATTATTAGTTTTATTAGGAAGAAAGGTAGGTATCCGGCACTTGGATATGATAGCTTCCATTGTAATGACATTTTATAATGCTGAACATATTTTCAATGGTTATTAAACTATCATTATTTGTTCAGAAAAGTCAGTTAAAAAAAGATTTAGCAAAATAAATTTTGTGAAGTGCATATAGATTAAAATATAAAAATACAGAACTGTTCAAAGGCACACCCAACCACCAAGTTTAAGTTTACTTTTATTTTGCACAATTAAGGTCATGCTTTCTCAGACTGTTTATGACGTCTTAAATACACTAGATCTGTTGGATGTGTGCAGATTGAAAATTTAGTCTGGGAAAACATGATTTAGTTATTTGTCCTGTCCAAACCAAAGAAATTTTTCCATTCCTATTGATGTTAAACTTCGCATGGTTTTATTATATATATTGATAGTTGTACCCCTTCCAGAGAGCCAATGTTAAAAATCTAACAAAATAATATTAATATTCTATATAGTTTTATTTCAAATTCAGTTTTTCAATTATGGAAATCTTTATTGCACAAAAATATCAGACATTTATCTTCTATAAATTGTTATTTTTTTGTTACAATGTAATTAATTATATATTTTTTTATCTATTGAACATAGAGACTATTAAATAAATGCATTAAGAAAACTTGTCAGAAATGACCTTATTATAGAGTTTCCATTGAGGGTCACTGGAGACATGTTTGGTTCCCATAAAAAGTACCTTTTATATTGTTTTAAAAGAACTATATGCATATCTTTTTTTAATTGTTGAAATGGTTTTTTTGGGGGGGAATTTTTAAGGTCAGGGAGGGGGTGTTTGACATGGTCATTCTTCTTACTTCTCATTTTTGACCAAATTCTCCATTTAATACCAAAGACATTATATAAACAGAAATAAAAATGAAACAAACAATGCATGCTAATGAAAAATAGGATTTGAATTATCTCATCGAATCAGCAGGAAGTACTTATAGATTGTGGTAATTTATTAATTCAGAAAAGGATGTTGTCATTTTTACTTACTCATTTTTAGAAAGTTATTACAATTTTGGATAATTTATAACGACTGGCAAATGTAGTTTTATTTTAACCTTATTTTACTTCTTGGAATGTAACGTACACAGAATGTTAGCGTGAAAAGTATTTAGTCTTTTCTGAAGCATTTTACTGCAATTATAAAGACTTTCAAATTCTGAACAAGGAAACTTTATAAATAATCAAAATGGTGAAAGACAGACTTGCTGAATTACAAGAGAAGCAT